TTTTTTAATTATTTTTTATTTTATTTCCCCCCCCAGCAAGCGTTGATTTCATGTGGTTTCTTCAGAGAGGGGCTCCTACGTGTTTGCCCCGGAGCGTGTTCTGCAGGTGGCCCCTCATTTCCATGTCGCTTTTGGCAAGCCTCACCTTTTGCCTTTTATCTGCAAAGCGGCTTCCTGTTTGCGCCGCGTGAGCCGCTCCGGCTCTCCCGACATCTGCTGCTCCGCAAAGCAGCATCCTCCGCTCCGCACCGCTCCGCCGAGGTCGCGTGCAAGGGCTTTGGGGTGAGAAAGATGCTTTTCTTTCTCTTATCCCGACAGAGACACCTCAAACCTCCTCCTATGCTCTGCTGGGTGTTGATGTGTCGTGATACTCTTGGGTCTTCACAAACTTGCAGCAATTGCTCGTTCAAGTTTGCAGGGTAATTTTTTTTTTTTTTGCTTTTTCGTTTTTTTTTCTCTTTTTCTCTTTTCTTTTTTTCTTTTTTCTTTTCCTCTCCCATCTCCTCCTCTCCCATCTCCTCCTCTCCCATCTCCTCCTCTCCCTTCTCCTCCTCCCCCTTCTCCTCCTCTCCCTTCTTTCCCTTTTCTTCTTTTTTTTCTTTCTCTCTCTCTCTTTTTTTTTTCTTTCCTTTTTGCTGTTGTTGTTTTTTGACTTTATAGTCTCGCAGACTAAGGTTTGCAAAGCTTTGTGACTTTGGATCCTAAGCAATCCCGGATCTCAGGGCCAAACGTGTGGAGATGGAGCGAGTCAAGCTGGGAAGTTTGCCTGTTAAACATGGACAGGCATGCAGCTTTGACAGGCACTTGGCCTGTCCGTACATCGCCAAGATATGTCCTTGGGAGGCAATAGCCTTGAGGCTGATGTCCAAGTAATCAAATTTCAGTCAAAATGATTTAAAATTAGCAGCTGGAGTCATGACTCTGGCCACCAGCTGGAAGGCCTGCGTTTACAGATTTGATCTTAGTCTTGTTCTCTTGAGGAAATGAACTGAAAAGGGTGATTTTTTTTCCTTTTTTATTGGCTAGGATTTCAGCATTGCTTTTTATTAACCTGGTGGCTTTATGAAGTCTAGACCTAGTCTAGTTCTTTAGTGTCTGAAAATGCGCTTACTCAAATTATTATGATTTTGCATTCTTTCTGACACCAGTGAATTTATTAATGGGGTGAACTGTATCAGGCTTTTCTTAGGAAAAAAAAATCGGATTAAAATATGCAGAACCAATATCTAAAATGCTTTAAAGTTGGCTGTACCAAGAGAGCGCTCACAAGAATACATCCTTCAAGAATCTCAGACTTTTAAACCTCCACCTCTACCATTTTATTTTGCTGTTTTTTTTTTTGCTATAAATGTGTTTTTTCCTCTCTCTCAGTGTTTCTGTTTGTGATCTCCCAGTCCCCTGAAGGCAAACAAGAAACAAGCATCGTGTTGCGCACGTGCTGTGTGACGGGTGGCCTTGGTTTGACATGGGGGCTGGTGGCTGCCAGGCTGTAAAAACACTGTGCAATGTTCAAATGCTTGTGGTTGTCCACGTCCGTCTGGGGCACACAAGCTGCAGAAGAGAGATTTCCGCTTACATTAGCCTCACTGGCAAACTCTTGGGTTCCCGGCATTTTTGTACGATCGCATGTGAGCCATTAAAAGGGCTTTTGTGTGTAAATGAGAAAGCGTCCCTGGTCTGACGGGCTGTGCTTCCAAGCTGTTTCTCTTGAGAAACAATTACAAAAAGCGAACTTTTGCCTTGACAGGAAAGGGGTTTTAGGTGGGACTGCGGCCACCTGGTGTGTGGAAGCCGGCTCGGTTTGCAAGCGCTGCAGAGGGATCTGGCGCTTCCGTCCCTCGGTTTCCCGCGACATCCTGTGAACTGGTGGGATCTCCCTGCAGAGCCAACGCAGGCGGAGTCGCCAAGCCTGGAAAGCGCCTGGTTTTTGAAACGCTGGTTTTTGAAATGCCAGTTTTTGAAACGCCACTCTGCTGTGTGGGGGAAAGGGAAGGGACTCCTCAAGTCTGTGCACAAACTTTCCTTTTTCCATCTCAGATGCAGTGCCTGGCTCTTTCCTTCCACGTTTTAAACACCGGTGCTGCGAATGCTTCTCCGTTGCCCCTGCCTTTGGGGTGAAACCCTGTAATTGCCCAGTTTTCCCTAGGGCACAGGCAGGCTGGCTCCAGAGGCTTTCGGCCCTGCGGTGCTGTGGGGCGAGCAGACACCAGAGCTACCGAATGGGCGACTGCTGGCGTGTGCTGACAGTCTAAAATTGACTTCCTACCTAGTGTGTGTTTTGCTTTTTTTTCAACAAACAGCATTTTAGCAACAGCAACGCTTCCCTACCCCTTCGCTCCATGGTGCACCATCTTCAGATGGGCAGGAAACTGAGGGTAGGAGAGGGCGAGGGAAGCGGATCGCTGGGTATCAGAGCAAGGAAGTGGGCAGGGAGCACGGCTGCTGCAAGGATGCGGTACCGTTTTAGGGAGGAAACATGGTGTTCTTGTCCTCTCCTGCCTCCGCCGGCCGCGGTTCCCATCGCGCTGCCGTGCGTCGCTTCCTGCCTGAATTCCTCCCATTCTTGTTTCTTCCTCCCAATGCAAAAAAAAAAAAAAAAAATCCCTCCTGAGCTCTGCGTGAGGAGGAGGATTTAGCCCCTACCTTGCAGTCATAGGCCAGGCATGCCCGGGATTTGGCCGGGCCCCATGCAATGGTAATGAGTCCAAAGCCCGGCCAACGGCACCGGGACGCAGCTGGCAGAGGGGTCATAGGGTCATTGTGGTTGGAAAAGACCTTCAAGATCATTGAGTCCAACCACAAACCCATCCCCACAATTCCTGCTAATCCGTGTCCCCAGGTGCCTCATCCACACAGCTCTTGAGCACTGCCAGGGACGGTGACCCCAGCACCTCCCTGGACAGCCTGTTCCAAGGCTTCACCGCTCTTTCCATGTAGAAATTCCTCCTAAGGTCTGACCTGAGCCTCCCCTGGCTCACGACAGGGTTCCCACGAGCAATGCAGGCGTCTTTCTCAACAAGATTGTCCTCAGCTGCTTCAGGATGGCTCCGGATACGTTCAATTTATGAGCATAATTTATTTCCGCTGCTCTCTGTGGGCGAATTGGGTAGCAAACCCTCCTCATAGCCACATCATGCTGGCTCTGGGGCACATCAAGCACTCCTGTGTGCTTTGGCAGGCCTCTCCTCTCCAGCCAGAGCAAGTACAAGTTTGAAGGGTAGCACTGACATGTCTTCTTCTAGATGAATAACCAAGAAAAAGGCTGCTAGCCTCCAGCATTATTTCCCCTTCCTAGTTATATTAGTAGGCTGTATTGGAGCGTGTACAGCGTTGTTTGCAAGAGCCACTTTCTCAAGCAGCTCTACGATTCCTTCTCAAGAGGGTCCACAACCTAATGTCCATAGCCAGGCTCCTGGTAATGCGTTCTGCCAAGTGCAGCCCCGTCGTGGGCTCCCTGTCCCCCTGCAAACACCTGATTTGTGCTACGTGTCACAGTGGCTGTGAGTTCATGCATGCCTGCCGCTGGTGTGTAAATACATAAAAACACGCTGTATGTCGCACATCCTCTCCAAGGGCTTGGAAGAACCGTCCGCAAGTGCAAACAGGAACCGGTCACGCCAAGACGCAACGCAGGTACCTGCGTGTGCTCACACCCTTACGGAGCAGGGGGAGAGGGAGCAGCTGCCCAATCTCCGTGGGCTGGTTCACGGCGCAGCGTTTTTGGGTGAAGGTTCCTTGTTTTATAGCTGGCACTGCCCGTGGGGAGGCTGCAGCGCTCCCATCTGCTGCAAACGGGCTGCTCTTTATTGGTGGCCGGGCGGGCACGCAGAGCGCGGCTTTATGAGAAGCCGTAAACGGATTTATGAGCTCGCCGCTGCTGGGAACGGCATGTGGCGGAGCAGGAGGCTTTTCTCTGAAGAGCTGAGATTCTTCTCTAAAGAGCCACGGCACTCCTCAAGGTTTTGTGCCACGCCAGGTTGTCCGGTTCAAGCGTCTGGGACCAAGTTCTGCAAAAGGTGAATGGTTTTCAGCTGAGCTTGGGGCAATGAACGGGCTTATTCTGCAGCCTGGTGGGCTCTGCTCCTGCTGGCACAGAGGACATTTGTCCAGCAGGAAGCAGGGAAAGTGAAGGAGCAGGGGAGCCCAAAGCGAGGATGGCAAGCTGCTCAGTGTCCTGGTTTGTGAACCTTATGTGAGCAAACACCAGCACAAGGCCACATCAGCCCCACTGCTTGCGTGTCCATGGGCTTGGTGGCCACCTCCTGCCTCCCAGCTTGCGCTCTGCCGTTGATGTCCCCCAAATCCCTTGGATTCCTCCTGTCAGGACACAGCGTTAGGCACTCGCTCAAGGCAGATGGGCACATCAGCAGTACATCTTTCTGCTCCCTCCTGGATGTTGCTCGCCTTTAAATAGCTCTGAAGCTCTTGTCCTGCCCGGGGTGCCACTGGGGACCTCTCAGTTTTGCACACCCTTTCTGGCAGAGATTATTTTTGCAGTTTCAATACCTGCCATGCTGAAACCGAATACAGGAGTTGCCAACCTGCATGCAAATGTGGATCTCTCTCTCTCTCTCCTTTTTTTTTTTTTATAAGCAGCTCTATCACAGGACTGTTTTTTTGTAAAAAAGACACATAACGCGTATGCCTACAAAACACTGGAAGCATCTGCAAGATAGAGGGGGTTTCGTTCGCTTTGCATGTGGCCAGCATTGGCGTAAGTGCCTACGTGGATCGGAGAGCCGGGCCCTCACGCTGCATTGGGTGGAAGAGGGCATGGCTGGTTTCATGGCGTGCATGCCGGTGGCAATGCACCCATTCGATTGCCCTGCAAACATCAGGATTTTCCAGACCCGTGGCGCATCTGTGGCATTTTTAGGGTTGGACACCAAGAGGCTCTTGTTGAGCGACGTTCTCCATGGCGTGGTTGCTCCGGGTGCTGCCTGTGTCTAAGAACTGATGCTTGTGTAAAGGATGCCCATCCAGTGAAATAAATTGCTTGCATGCTGGGGCCCTTGCTGAGTGGCTCTCTGTTGTGTTTCCTTGCAGTCGGCACGCTGCGGGTGGAGTTTTCCCAGCCTGTGAACCTGGAAGAAGTGTCGAGAACAAACCCTGAGGTGAAAACAGGAGGTCGTTTTGCTCCCAGGGACTGCACAGCACTTCAGAAAGTAGCAATTATTATACCGTTCAGGAATCGCGAGGAACACCTGAAATACTGGCTCTATTACCTGCACCCAATTCTGCAAAGGCAGCAGCTGGACTATGGAGTGTATGTGATCAATCAGGTAAGGGGCTGCGGATGCAGAGTTTTAAAGCACTCGTGTAAGCATGCCCATGCTGCTCGGTAATGGAGGACTGGGGTCTTTATCCTGGATGCCAGTGGGCTGGTGGAGATGGGTAAGGTCCCTTAACAAACTCAAAAATAAAATAAAAGCTGTAGCGCAGTGAGAGGATGTGGAAGTGCAGATGAACAATTCTGCGTCGATGATTTTGATTGAAGATTTGGCATCCTCTCTACCTGGTCAACCAGGGCTAAAGTGAAGAGCTTCTGCTTAGAGAAGTCACTTGGTGAGAGGGGAATTAAATCCTACTAAGTGCGTGACCTAATCTGCCCCAGGTGGTGCATACGCAGGTCTTAAAGGTGAGAAGGTAACACCGATGCTTCGTTTGGCACTGCGTGTGCCATAAAGCCATAGGGTTTCCCTTGCTTGAGCAAGTTCTGTCCATGTGAGCAGTAGTGCACAAAGCACCAGGATGGGCAAAGGAGTCATGGTGGAAGAGGTAAGTGGTTGCCCTTAGGAAGGAGAGCAGAAAATAGTGACAGGTTTTTGCTTCTGCTGTTTGTTTGTTTGTTTTCTTCTATATTTGATGGTTTTGGAGCTGTCTTTGAAAAACGGCACATTCTCTCCAGATGATCTCGGTCTTACTTTGCACCACCATGGTGGTTAAACAGCAGTGTTCTCTTTCTGTACATGGAGGAACTCGAAATGTTTAGATCACCGCTTGGAAAGGGGAATAATAATTGCCCTTTCCAGCAAAGACTTCTGCCTGGAAGGTGTTGCAGCCCAGTTCCTCTCCCTGAGAATATGTACTCGTAACCTGTACTCAATCTCAGTTTTTGTGAACCTGAGAAAGAACACGCTTCCTGAAACGTCACGCTGTGTAGATTTTCAGATCTGCCAGTGTGTCTGGGTGTACCAGGTGTGTCGAATATTCAAAATTATTGCCCAAGTCTTGAATTTTGATACAGAAATGAAAAATAGGAGAGACTTTTTTGTTTTTTTCTTCTAGAAAGAAAAACAATGTTCGGTTACTGCCATTTCTCTTACTTTGCTCATTTCTAGGGTTCCAGAGAACTGGTGGAAAAAAAAGAAAAGGAAAAATAAGAGTGGGGTTTGTGGGGAATCAGTGATAGCTTCTAGGAACAGAAGCTGAAGTATTCTAGGTGCTAATACATGCCACTGAAAGCATTTGTGGGTAGCAGTCCCTCCGAATGCATCCCTGTAAGGTGCAGACGAGCCCGTGGGCCCTGCAGAGACCAGCTCGTAGCTCATGGGGTGGCAGAGCAACGCACCTCCGTGTCCCAAGCGCTGGTTAGAAGTGGGGCAGTAGCGGGAATGGTCCGACGGCTGGAAATGCTGCTTTTGCTACCGATGGGTGGCTGATTCCTCAGAGGGCCCTACACGGTGCCGGTGCCCTGGTGGACGCGGTGCCAGCAGGTGCCCGTGGGTGCAGGCGTCCCCCCGCGCCCGCCGCCGCTGATGCGTCTGCGACCGTGCATGCCGGCTTGCATCGCCCTGCCTGTGCAGCTCTGCTCTTCTCTGGTGTTTGCTTGAAGTTTGGAGGGGGGCGGGATGCCCCATCCACATGGTGTGTTTGTGTGTTGCCTACGTATATATATATTTGTGCATACACACACATGTCCTAGGAATGTTCTCAATTGGATGCAGGCTAGCAAGTGAGGCTAGGCGATCTGCGCTCCTTCTGCATGCCTTTAAAAAGTTGTGTCCAGGTGCCTCTCTTGAGGGTGAGTGGAAACGCTGAATGAAGAGATTTGCAGAAAATGTGTTAATTCTGCCAGAAGTGCAGTAGGAAAAGAAGGAAAATGCTCTTATTTCTCTGCTCTCTTGACAATTGCTTTTCTGTTTCTCTTGTCTGTCCTTCCCTTTGCATCTCTCCTCCCTTTTTTTTTTTTTATTTTTCCTTCTAGTGGGGAAATATTACCTTTACTTGTTAATCCTGTCTATAGCAAAGCAATCACTGAAGCGAGGAGAATTACTGTGTGATCTGATTCTTACACGCTGCCTACGTGCTCTTCTGTACTCTGCATCTCATAGAAAGAAAGAGGAGTGCTGAGCCCTGCTACTGCTACACTGGTAATGTCAAACTTCTTCCTTTCAGCGCAATGCTTTTCAGTCGTGACTCCCTTCGCCAGTCTGCTCTTGTGTGTCTGAGTGCAATGAGTAGTGCTTGACTGAGCCCAGGAGAGCGGGGCTTCTGAAAATGCCCAGTGTGTGGCAGGAGCCCGTGGAAAATACCATATAGGATGTTTCCTGCGCCCTCCAGGCAGAACCCATTGCATGCAGTAGCAGCTTTGGGATTTTTCTGATTTTTTTTTTAATGTGAGATGAAAAATAGCTGAATGCTTTTTTTTTTCAGTTGGGTAGCACCTTTTCAGTAACAACCAGAAGTCTCTATTTAAAGAGCAGTATCAAATTTGCAAAATCTGTTTTTTTTCCCCGTGAGTTTGCAAAATATCCTTTTTGTCCCTGAGTCTGCAAAATCTCCTTTCTCCTACGTGTTTGGCCGCCCGTAACACTCAGGTGAGCAGCAGTGTCAGCGGGGCAGCCAGGCAGCTCCGCGCTCGTGTTTGGAGATGAACTTACTCGCTGCGCTCCCACCTGCGCAAAACACCTGTGTGGCGGCACACCAAAACGAAAGATTTTTTGGGGAAAAAGAGAGCGGATCTGGTAAACTCTTGCGGAAACAGTGCGGTTTGCTCAGCTGTTTTTCCACGGGCCCCTGGCGTTACCTGCAGCATCCTCAGTGGTGCTTTTTTCCCACGCTGTGTGTGTGTGTTTGTGTGTGGGGGTGACTGGAGCATCACGTGTGTCCTGTTAGTTGCCGGGTATCACAGACCCACTTGCCCCTCGTGGGAAGCACGTGGGGCTGAGCTGCTCTGGGCTCGCCTGTGTCACCACGTGTCACTGGATGCACCGACGCAGCGATGCACCAAGCTGTTTCTTGAGCATCACCCGTGTCCCGGTGCCCCGTCCTGGCCTGGCAGGGGCAGTGCCCGAGGAAGGAGATTCCCAACTCCGCAGTTTGCCGCAAATGTCTTTCTGATGCATTATCTCCTGAATTCCTTGCCTTTTGATCCCATGGTTTGGAGCTGTATGGGAAGAGAGCAGTAGCGCCCGTGTTAACTCTTTGCCACATAACCAGTCCTTGCCTGCCATGGCCAGAGGTGTGGACGCTGCTGGAGATCCGGTGGGTGAAGTGGTATTGCACTGATACCCAGTCATAGCATTTTGTTTTTCAAAATATTATTTGGGAGAGGCCAAAAATCGCACTCCTTGCAGCAGCATTAAACCCTAAGCATTGCTTACAAAAAATACTGTTACCTAGATGACTTAGAGTCTACTAAAGGGTATGGGATAGATAGGACTGAGTCTTTGCCGATAACAAAATCAGTGTGAAGAACTCTTCTCACCTTTCCAGTTACAACAATAGCAGCCAGAGGGTATAAAATGAAGATATTCCCCTTCCAGAGCCTGGCCAACAAATGCTTTGAGGTTTGAGCGCATTGCCCTCCACAAAGCCTTCTCCGTGCCAGCACCAGGAAGAACCTCCTCCGGGGCGAGGAGGCCGGGTTGCAGGAATGTAGCTGCTGCAGGAGCAATTGCACCTTCGTTTGCAGTTTGATGGTAGCCTGAAAGCAAGCGTGACTCCTGGTGCTGTTAGAGCCCTTGGAAACCTCCCCCTCCCTGAGCATTGCTTTTCAAGACCTCTGCCATGGTCCAGAACAGTTTCATTTTGAGCCTTTTTTGCATTAATTTTGTTTTATTTTTTTCCTGAGGGCTTTCCTGGGACGAGGATGTGGGGTGCCCTCCAGCTGGGAATCAGGGGTCCCTTTGCTGATGAGACTATCTCCTGCTCCCGTGGCCTCAGCAGCTGTGCCGCTTCCCTTCTTGCTCCCTTTCCCAACCTTTTGGTTCAACTTTGCTTCGTGATTTTTTTTTCTATGCTCAAATCTTCACTGCTCTTGCTTATGCATGATGAGGATCATCATGTGCCTCAGTTACGCTTTTATTTCAGGTGTGAGTGTTGAGAATTTGCTCAGATCCACCTCCACTAAGACTCTCTCCTCCCAGTGAAGTCATTTAAGCCTGAGGCAGGTGCTGAATGCTTTTGAAAACCTTGGTTTGACACTCGCATGTTAAATCCTTCATTTGAAAAATATTTTGCGGTTGCTTTGAGAACCTGCGTTGGCTCTCAAGCCACAGATACATTAACCAGTCTGGATCAATCAGTTTCCAGACAGATTATTTATTAATCAGGCAAAACCATTTGGGGGAGGAGGTAAATGGGATGTTTTGAAGTGCTGCTCCTTGAGGACGGTATTTTATCTGTTCTTGGTGTGCATCCAACCCAGCTGCCCTGTGCCAGGTCTGGAGCATGTAGCACGCTCGCAAGCCAACATGCTTGCACATTCCTGAGCCCTGGAGCCAAGGGCAACAGGGGGATCCTGTGGATCAAAATTGCTCTTAGGGAGCAGAGAGAGAAAGATGGGTTGTGACAGAAGAGGGAGGCCTTGGTTATTCTGTTTTCCTACATCTCCAAGGGTTGATTCTCAGTGGGTAAAAGCTTCAGTTTCCTTCAGTAATGTCCCTCTTGTCCCTGCACTGTTTTACTCTTGCAGGGGTTGGATTTGAAGCTGCAGTTGCAAGATGGGCTTCTGGGTCAGAAATACTTAGACTCAAGCCACTAGTACTCCAGTATTTCTGAGTATATTTTTGCCTTTACTCTTTTTGAAGAAACACGTGGGTGATTAGAGAACCCATACTCGTTCTCAGAGCCAGGTGTGCTTTTTGGCTCGAGAGAGGCCAAACCTATTTCTCCTCAGACTCCTCACCCCTTGGGGAGGAAAGCAGAGAATTTCCATCCCAGGTCACTGATTTCTGCAGACTAGTTTGTAATTGAGCCTGCCCTGAGATCAGTGTGGTACTGGCCTTTTTCAGGTCCTTCCCTTCATGGTGAGAGCCCTCCCCATTTCTTTTTCCCATGGGACTTCTGAGTGCACGATGTCTGGCAGAGGAGCTGTAGTCCTTTTCCCGGAGTGCACCTCATCCCAAGTCTTGGCACAAGCCAATGAATGCAGATGTCACGGCTTTGGGGTGTCAGCCTCCTCACTCAGCTCGTGCGCAGCCTCGCAGAGTTTGGTGCAAACTCCAGAGTGGGAGTAGGAGAGAGCAGCAGGGAAGGGAGACTTTGGCTTGCGGTGCTGTCACGTGCCTTGCAAGTCAGGTCTTGTGTGTGCTTGAGCATGTTGCTGAGAGCACGGGATCTCAGAGCCATGTGTGAAGGAGGTTAGTATCAAAGACCTGGACCCCCAAAACTACGTTTTTTTTAACCCATTCCTTGTCCTGGAGACAACCAGAAGCATTGCCAAGGTTTCCCTCCGTGTTGGTCATGCTAAGGGTCTCTTCCGTGTGGGTTGTTTGGCTAGTCTCACTTTCTTTGGGTTTGTTGTTTTCCCATACTGTTCTGGGAAGCACCAGATAGTGATCCCCTGCAGCCTGCCTTCCTGCTTTCCACCCATGGCCCTCAGCTGAGACTGCTTCAGTCTAAACCTGTAGGGGCAAAAAAACCCCCCTCCCCCTGTAAAATTAAATCCTGAAATGCCAATGAGGAGAAACAACCCTGCACAAAACACCCATCTCGGGTAGGAGAGTTTTTGCATTGCCTTGGCTCCATGGGGCTGGGACCGGCTGTCGCCCTCTCCCTGGCCTGCTCCCGCTGCAAGAGGTAAGAAACTGCTGATGTCACCCGTGTAATACAAGGTACTTAACATTTTCTCTTTGTTTTGAATTAGGATGGAGAAGAAGAATTTAACCGTGCTAAACTGCTGAATATAGGATTCGCAGAGGCTTTGAAAGAGTATGACTATGATTGCTTTGTGTTTAGTGACGTAGACCTAATCCCAATGGATGACAGGAACACCTACAAATGTTACAGCCAGCCGAGGCACCTCTCTGTGTCCATGGACAAATTTGGATTTCGGTGAGATGCCGTTTGAGGGGGCATTTTGTTCCTAATACAGCTGCTAGCATTCCAGAGCAGGCACAGGATTACAGCATCCCCACCCAGCACTGAGAGCCTGGGAAAATGTCTCTGGCAGGAGTCTGCCTTGGCATGCACGTTCCTGCAGGGAATGGATAGCTGTGAGGGAGGAGGAGGAAGTGGGGAAAACAGAGCTAAGCAGTTTATTAAAATTCACAGCGCCTGAAAAGTGAAAAGTAGGTCTAGGGCAAACCATAGGCTGTCTCTTTACGGATACCTGTGTGTCTGTTGTTTTCAAGCTGGAAACTGTAAGACAGCTAGTGTTTTCTGTTTGTCTCGAAGAATGAGACGTTCACACACAGTAAGAGTGGCTTGCAACTTTAAAAAGACTGTATCAGATGTTATTTTAAGTTCAAAACATTTTTTTTTGGTCTATTTGATTCTGGGCCACTCAGGGATCTGTCCTGGTATCTGAGGGCGACACAAAACTAAATGCCTTTCAGCATATGTTTTGGTTCAGCATTCAACAAATGAAAGTAGGGGGTTTTCTCTCTCTCTCCCTCTCTCTTTTTCTTTCTCCCCCTCTCTCTGTTTCTCTCTTTTTCTCTTTTTTTCTCTCTCTCTCTTTCTGTCTTTCTCTTTTTCTCTCTCTCTCTCTCTTTGCCCAAATTTCCCAAGATAAATGGTGCTATGGGTCTGTATTTTTTCCAACTCTTACCCCCCTGGTGAGTCATCCCAGGTTCACGAGGTATTACTCCATCACCTCACTTTTTTGTTGCAAGCTAATTTTGGGGGCAGCACGAGTGGAAGGCGAAGCTGAAGGAGGCTGATTTCTTGCCAGGTGTCTCAGGAGTGACACCTTGATGAGTTGGGGCACGGGGGCCATTGGTCTTTACCCATACGCCCTTTGGCTGGGCCTTGTGGATCTTGCCTGCCTGTCCCTTGAGGACCCATGTGTTTCTTGGCAAAGATTTGCCCATGACAAGGTATTTTCCGGACATATTTGCAGCCAAGTCTTCCCTTGGGCGCATGGCCACACACATCTCCTAGGCCGCACTTCATGTGGGAAAGGCAACGGTCCCACATCTTGCCCTGGTGCCCCCGCACTACGTAGCTGGGTTGGTACGTGGTGATAACGTGGTGGTCCCCCACCACGTGGCCCCACCACGCTGGCATGGCCTAGCCTTGGGTTGACATGACGGGAGGCAGCCTGGGCCCCAGTGTGACAGGCCCGCTCGGTGGTGGGGACATCTGCTGTTTCGCTAGCCAGCTGGCCCGCTGATGGCCTGTCCCTCCTGCTCGCAGGTTGCCTTACAACCAGTACTTCGGAGGTGTGTCTGCTTTGAGTAAAGAGCAGTTTACGAAGATCAACGGGTTCCCCAACAACTACTGGGGCTGGGGTGGCGAAGACGATGACATTTACAACCGGTAAGTGCCCACCGCGGCGCTGCCACCATGTTTCACCCTGCATGGGGCAAGCAAGACTGGCTCCGTGTCAGGTCTGGTAGGGCAGAGTGCGCCCAACTGGCTCCTCAAACTGGAGCAGAGGCCTCTCCATTGCAAAAAGAGAGCCCGAAACGTGCTCTGCAGCTTGGCTTGTTACCTAGCAAGGTTGTGTTTGTCAAGTTTGAACCAGTCCTAAATATCACCATGAACTTTTGCTTCCTACCTGGAGCAAAGGTGAGTGCACGGCGCTCAGAACTGCAGGTAGGAGGTATTTGCACAGTGTGGGCTGGATCCATTAATGCCTAAAGATCAAGGGAGAATACAACTGCGGAGCTGGGTTACGTGCCCTGGAAGAGCAGGACAGGAAGAGGTAGATTTTGAGAAACCTTCATGGCAGCTTGGACCTCAGAAGCTTTTATTTGAGTTTCTTGGCTGCAAAATGGACTCTTCTGTGGTCTTTTCTGTCTGGGGTTTATAAATTGTCCTGAACTCAGGAAAAAAACTCCGTAAAAATGCTTGTGCCTTCCTGAGGTAGATGTGGATTTTCAGCACTTCTGTGCTGAAATAAACCAAGTAAGAGGCAACAAGGCATTGAAAGAAAAGTGACGGCCTTTTATTATTATTATTATTTTTAATGGCATTATGATTTTGAAGGCTAGGGAGGCCAAAAGGGGAGGAAATGGTGCACGTTTTCAGCCCTGGGGCTCACAATCTGTAGGTGCCTTGTTGCATGTGGCACGTACACACTGATGAAGATGAGCTGTCCTGGGGTCTGGGGTCACTTACATGGATCCCTTATGCTCTGGACATCTCAGTTGGATAGGCCTGGAAAGGGCCAAGTGTGTTGACCTGCCCTGGAGTGTCTCCCATCCCCAGGTGGTCTCCAAGAGGGGTTGCTCGTGAGCTGCAAGTACCAGGAATTTTGAACTTGAGGCCCAAGGGTGGTGATGGTGCTTTAATACTCATCTTCTGAGGTAGTTTTTATAACGAAACCTGGAAATGGTTTTGAAAATGCAGTTGTTGGTAGAATGAGCTGCAGGAGAAGCTCTTTGACCTGCTCTCACTGTCCCAGTCTTCTCCTTGCACATCACATTTTCCATCCTGGCTTTACTGTATGGGTGGGGAGCTGGGGGTTTTGCCCATCCCTTCTACAACGTCCCCAGCAGGCTGTAGAATTACTGGTGAAATGGCCCACTTGTTGTAAATTTTCAAAGTATTCATTTTGTTTTTTACAGGCTGGTATTTAAAGGAATGGGGATATCTCGGCCGGATGCAGCCATTGGGAAATGCAGAATGATTCGTCATTCCAGGGACCGTAAAAACGAGCCCAATCCAGAAAGGTGTGTGTATGAGCCTCTCTGTTCCTTCCAAACTCAAGGGAGGTGTCCTTGCTCGTTTGAAATGCCTAGCTTTCTCTTGCTGATGTAAAACTGATTGCAAGTCCACTACAACCCCTTCTTGCTGTGGTTTCTCTTCCTTCCACAGACTATGAACTGTCTCCCCTCCCATAGCCAATAATTTTTACCTTATTACCAATCTTTGTTGTCACCCCCAAGCTTCTCCTTTGCTGAAACACCAGTTACCTTTTCTTTCTGCAGCATCATAACTGATAAATATTGCTTCAAACTTTGAGCAGTTGTTCCCAGCTTACCTTTGGTGTTCAAAACCGTTGCGTTTATTACAGACCTGACAAAGAATCTGCATGCCTACAGGCTTGGCTGTTTTTCCTAGCTAAAAGCTATTCCCTCAGAGCCTCTTCAGACATGCATGTGCCTGCTGCTCAGTCTGGCCAAGTTTATGGGATCCACAGTGACGTTCAAGTTGATCTTAAAACACTGAAGCCTCTATAGCCTGCGAGGCTATAAAAATGTGGAATTAGGGTTGCTCAAACACAATTCTTTCTTTTCCTCCTCAGGTTTGACCGAATTGCTCACACAAGGGAGACAATGAATTCTGATGGCTTAAATACACTATCATACAAGGTGGTAAAAAATGACAAATACCCTTTGTACACAAAGATCACAGTGGATATTGGCTCGCCAAATAGCTAACATCACAGACACAAGAGAGACCTTGTATGTGTTGCCCTGGACATCTGGCCTTGCCAGTGTTTTGTATCTACTGGTTCTTTTGCAGTTGCAATGAAGAAAAAGAAGGGACTCTTCTGGTATGCCAAAGCCTCTCCAATTTGGTTGGACAAATGCAGGTTTTTTATATCCCAAACTTGACTGTACACAACTTTCTAGCTCTCCATTGCTTTGTAATTCCAGAAGTTGTACGTGAGCATTGTAGATAATCACATTACCAGATAATGTTGAATCTGATACCTTTGCTGCAGTGCTCCCCATGTTAAGTTAATTGCTGGACCGAAATTTTATTGATTACAACTGTGATGCATCAGCAATTACTGCCCATGTTATTCTGATGTTTTAAATTAGGTAGATGAAAACATTCCTTTTAAATTGTGCCTGGTTTTACTTTATGAAGGACTGTAAAATGCTGCTGAAATTGTACAAGTTTACACTTTGCATAACATTTTTTAACAGAGAGAATATCATGTATTTTTTTCTGTAATAGTGACAAAAACAAACACCTTCTCTGTCTGTGTGCAGAGCAAGTTTTTGAAAAATATAGTCTGGATTAAGTGAACATCATATTTCTTCTAGCCTCAAAGGAGGCTTTGAGTGAGTTGAGCCAGCCTTTGCCAGTGAGCTCTGTATGTTGCTTGAAAGCTACACAGATGGTATCTATTTTGTCATCTGCAAAACTGCTGGCTTCAGATAACTTTACTTCTGGATGCAATGGTGACTTTTTGCCCCAGCCTAACAAGATACCCAGGGCTTTTTTTCCTCTGTAGTAAAAACAAATAGGTGTAATTGCGTGATGAAATTTGCTGACACTTGTTGACAGTGGTAGAAAATTTATTACACTATTTAACCATTGTGTGAATCTTCCAAAAACAAATTTGTGCTTGCCCGGTTGTGCGTAAAAACTTGAATTCACTATTACTTTTGTAACATTTTAGTAACTTTTATAAGTAATTTGTTTATCATAAGCAGTATATTTAATACCTGAGTAAACTAGGATGCAGCATAATAGGATGTTTCAAAGCCTCCTTTATCTTCAGACTAGTAGGCATTTTAAGTGCATCGTTATGTAAAAGCCATGTATTGTATTTTCTCTGCATATTTGTCCACGAGATCTCCCGCACTGCTGAGATGCTCGTAGGATGGCTGACATCCAGCAGGTTTTTTTTTTCTTTTTTTTTACTTTTTTTGTCAGAAGCCTGTTGTGACCTATGTCCCTTAGTGGGAAACTCCCTTTAATTTTCTCCAGCAGCGAGGAACATGCACATTTTTGGAGTGCTTATTGTCAACGCACCGAGGCACCAGCAGAAGCTGTACGAACACCTCGCTTTTCCTTCTTGTAACTGTAAGAAAGCCTCACGTGCTGATTCCCTCGGAGCTCCTTTAAATGATTTAAAACTCTCAGCCAGGACTGAGAACTTAATCCCTTCTGGGTTTCGGTGAGCACTTTGCCACCAGCTCTGACCACAGCAATTTGCACTTCCTTGGCCTGCGCTGAAGGCTATTGAAATCAGGGACACTTGATATTTTGGGGATCGTCTTCAGCGCTACCTGCTCTTTGTCACGACCTGAAGGTTTTGCCGAACTCTCGCGTTGCAGGGGAGGGGACCTGGGCAAGGGGATGAGGGTCTTGCTTTCCAGACTTGTCAGGCATGCTGGCTACTGCCTCCAAGTTTCTTATTAAGCTAATAATGGCTCCAAGGACCAAGACAGGCTCTAACTATTAGAGACACCCAGTTGCCTGGTATGCCTTGTTTCTAAAACGGGCTTACCCACCTCACTTAAAGGCTATTGCAAGCTGGAATTACGGCTCAAGCCTTGCTGGGAGCTCACGAAGGTGGGCTTGCACATCTGCTGAGCTTGGCAGCAGGCAACAGCAAGGATTGAGAAAGCGGGCTTGTGTTTATGAGCTGCTCTCTTCTGCTCATTTCTCCATCAAAAAAAAAAAAAAAAAAAAAAAAAAAAAAGACTCCTTTTGGGCAAACCAAGCCCCAGCTCCGGCAAGCAGAAAGGGCTACAAGAATAGGATGCGTTCCAGAAATTAGGTTAAATTCCTAAGTCGGAATTTCCAACCTTGGTGCAACCGAGGCTGTGCCAATAGCCAAGACACAGGTGAGGGTTTTTTTTTTTTTTTTCAAAAGGGGCCTTAAAAACTGGGCTCCTGTAGATCAGTACCAAAAATCATCAAGGCTCCAGTGAAAAGCCCAGGTCCCTGCAGAGGTCACCCCTGATGTCATTCTGAGCCTTTTGCAAGTTGAGGAGTTGGGACCTTCAAGCATATTCACGTCTGTCTGCTCTACAGACTGTGCAAAGGGGTTATCTATCATATTTGATGTTTGTTTGTTTGTTTGTTTTTTCTTGCCTTAAGATTTTCTGAAGATCAGAAAAGGTTAGTGTAGTGAGTTTTTGTTCTGCTGTATGCTGAAATAATTGAATATCATCCAGGCGGTATGAACACTGTTGCAATCAAAGTTTTCTGCAAATGTGCCTTGAAAGAGGGGAGAAATGGAAACTGGAAAACTTGAAAAGAAACCTGAAAACCATTTTCAGCATGGAAACTTCAGTGGTGCAAGAAGCCCTCACTTAGTTTTTCTTCTAATGCTAAAGCCATAAGCCCTTTAAAAGCTGAAGCTGTCTGTCCTTATTTGTTTCACCCTTTGGTGCTGACCCATGATCTCCTGAGCTCATTGTCCCTGTGTAAACTGTGTAGGTCAAACTTGTGAAACATTTTTGATTTAACCAGATCATGAAATTTCTCTCTCTGGGATTTTGAGGAGCTTTTGCGACAGGGGTTCATGTTATACAGAAATAAAATTTTGACCATGACCTAAACTGGGTGATGTTTTTCCATTTAAGTACTGGCAGCAACACACAGTGATACTGTGTGTAAGGGTTCAAATCCAGAACAAATAGCTGCAAAGGAAATGCTAATGGTTGGTTTCTTTGGAATTGCTGTTTAGAATAAGAGAGGGTCCTGGCATACAGCTTTTCCCCTGGATGTTACTTATTTACTGGACTGCTTATGGGTTTCCTAAAGATGGTTTTGCTTTGCATTTTTTTATCATTTATATATCAACAGATGTATAATCTGATGTTCCTACTTTACTGTCAATGTCAAATAAAGTATTTTCATTTACAGTGTTTGGCAGCTTTTCTCCAAAGAGACAGGCTTTTCCATCTGTTCTCTCTCACTGGCTGGGTTTCTGGCTGGTGAGGGGGTTGGGCCAGGCCGTTGCCTCCTTGTCTTGGAACCGATTCCAGCATTTTTCCCTCGTCTGGCTTCCTCCCCAGATGTTAGGGAAAGTGTCTGCACCCGTTCCCTGCTGTAAATCCAACCTATCACTGCTGGGGAACCACTGGGCTAGAAACAGTTTCTTTCTTTGCCCTGTGAACTCTTTGGTGCCATGAGGCGAATGGATCCGAGAGAAGAGGTTGACCCTGTAGACAACCCCGAAAATCCCCAGGGTTGGTTCATTTCCCTCAGGGCCAGGGGACAGCATGCAAAGAGGGAGGACACAAGCCCCGGGTTGTCGGCTCTCCGGGGAGGCAGGTCGCTGCTTGTGGGTTTGGCGGCGGCGGCGGGAAGGGGAGAAATCATTCTGGGTAAACTGATGCAAGTGCGACTGCAAGAAGGTCGCCTGTGTTACTTGGCACTTTTTTATGAAAAACAAAACAAAACAGAAAAAAACCCCAGAGATCTTCCTGGCTGCAAGACAGCGGCTGAGGCAGGCCAGTCAGCTTGAGGTCCTTGTAGCTCTCCGGAGAGGTTTTCCCATTCCTGGAATAGGAGAGGGAAGCCTGGTCCGTGCCTGAACCTGTCTGCACACCACATCCACAGCAAGTCCTGGCAGGGGGCACCGACCCCTCTCTCTTGTTTTGTCAGTCGAGGGGAAGGAGCGACGTGTCTCTAGGGATGGCCGTGGGGGAGCAAGGACAGTTCAGGATGTCGCTCAGCAGGAGCTGAGTCTGTACAAGGCTTGGTAAGGATGTGAAGGGAAGAGCGCTGTTGGCTCCTATGGCATCCTTTGTTAGTTCCTGTGTCCTCAAAGGCATTGCACAGCAATAATGGGCTTTTTCTTCCCCGGGTTCTCTTTTTTTGAGTGCTGTTGGGCAGGAAAATGATCCAGGAAGGACATAAGAAAGTTATGGAGCTCTTGAAAAGTTATGGAGGTTTTAAGATGTCCCACCTGGAAATCTTTTCCTTTGGTGGAAAGGAGAGCTGAGGAGTATCACTAGGATCTCACCCTTCTCTCTGTCCTGGGCACTGTGTGTGGTCACCAGTGCTGCCAGACGTTCCTGGATCAGGTTGGCGTGCATGTTTGCAAAGGATCCCATTACTTTTTGTTGTTGTGAGAACATGTTTGCTCTAGCACAGTTTCCCTTCCCACCTCCAGCCTGCCCTGCGTGCCAAAGATCCAAGAGGGGTGAGCGGGGATCTCTGACGTGCATCACAGTTGTGTTTACCCTGTGTTCCTCTCTGCTGCCTAAGGAAACAAAGGGGAGGCTGTTGTTAAAAGAAAAAAAAAAAGAAAAGGGGGAAAAAAAAAGGACTAAGCTGAAGCTTGCTGACCCCTTTCACCCTTTTGGAAGGAATCTGAAGTGGGCGTGCTTGCCCTTTGCTCTTGCTCTGCGTGTTGCTCAGTACAAAAGTGCGGGCATCGGATCTGTGCTTATCTGCCTGTGTCACGTTTGCAGGATGTCTGTGCTCTTCGGGGTGATGCACCCGTACGAGACCTCTTCTTGTGTGTGAGCTGAGACAGCCGTTCCACCCCTGGAGTCTGTTTTATTTTCCCATTCACTGTTTTTGAGTCTCACTGCCAGCAAAGCAGATGTTAGTGCATACAGACGAGATCTCTGTGGAGCCTCTAAGTGACTGATTTCTCAAGCCTGGTCTAGATCTTTCAAAGAAGAAGCTGTACAAGGACTAGTGAGGGCTGGGGGTTGAATTTCTGGTTCTGTTGTAGTCCCTACATGATCTCATGTTTGATCTGCATGACTTCTCCTCCAGAGAGCTACGAAAACACAGATATGCAGGACAAGATGAGCAACAGGCTAAAATAACACCTGTGTCTATGATTATCCATGTGTAAATGTATTAGAAGCTGTACAGAAATCCTTGGACATCCAGAACCTCCTTGCTTTAGGCTTGGGAGTGGGCGAAGAGGAACATTAGAGCAGCAAGAAACATCTGGGAGGACGTCAGCAAAGTCTCCTCTAGGGTAGGGGCATAT